AAAGCATAAACTGCAAACCAGTATCCTGATTAGGGGGTTGGGGAAGGTCCAGACTCATTTATCAAGGATGTTAAGAATTAGATTGAAATTTTGGTGGTAGTTAAGTGAGGCCAAGTAGGTTCTGACTCATAGCAACCCTGTATAGGGCTTGTGAAGAGCAGATGGTGGGTTTGAACCACTGACCTTGTGGTTGGCACTGCAGTGCAACACCAGGACTCTAAAACATCAGTTACCCAAGATTTTATAAAATTCTCAGCAGGGAATCCATCTTCTGAGAGTCTAAACTTCTGCACAGAGGATTTCAAAATGTCTGCATTCATTTGTCTAAACTGTTTCTAATGTGATTATGCTAAGCAGGTAGGTGCAACTATATGGCACAGCCAGTGCTTATTTGTATATTAGATTGTTGTTGTGAGAGCTCCGTCAGTCGATTCCGACCCATAGCGACCCTGTATAGCGTTTTCAAGGAGCAGCTGGTGAGCTTGAACCGACGACCTTGCAGTTCAAACAGTTTTGCAGTCTGGCGCATTAACCCACAGCGCCACAGCAGAACTCCACAAGAAGGGTTAGAGAGATGGAAATACCACCTTCCGAAGTATATCAACGTTGTTATGTGCCGTGCCGTGGAGTCGGTTCCGACTCATAGCGACCCCGTACAGGGTTTCCGAGGCTGTAAATCTTTACCGGAGCAGAAAGCCGCATCTTTCTCCCGCGGAACAGCTGGTAGTTTTGAACTGCTGACTTGCAGTTCGCTGCCCGATTCGTAACCACTATGCTACCAGAGCTAGGAGTCCCTTAAGGGAATTTCCTATGTCCCCAGATAATGGTATTTCCCAATTTCACAAAAGTTTTAAGTTTGCTCAAAGTTTAGGACTCTTGTTAAGTGCCGTCCGAATTGGTTCTGACTCTTGGCGACGATGTAAGACCCACAGCTGATTACATGGAGCAATTGGTGGGTCTCAACAGGTCACCTCTGTGGTTAGCAGTCCAGTGTTGATCCTCCAGTGCTACACCTGGACTCCAGACAGGGAAGTGCCATGAGGTCTGGACAGTGTGCCGCTTAGACCAGGCATGTCTGGAGCTGCAGAGACATTGTCTTAATGCCTGCATACAGCCTAAGCTCCTGGCCTATCCACCAAAAGGGCTCATCCTGAAGCATGAGAGTCTTTAACTATTCTCCATGGCAATTGCCCTACTGGATTTTTTTTTTTTTTTTTAAT